ATTTTTACAATTTTCAAGGAGAGGCGGGCTATGCTTTAGTTAGGGATGAAACGATATATCGGAAAACAGATAAATATCGATATATCGACACCTAAATATATCGATAGCTATCCATATCGATGATATACCGATATCGATAATTCAATATCGACAAAAACGCGATGTATCGAACAGGATATATCGAAAAAAATATTGAAAACCAGCACAAATTAAAATATTCACAAAATCAGGTAAAATGCTATTACTTACAATGGCTTTATCAGTCATCTACCGATTGTAGCAACAAGTGTTCCATGAGAACGTCTTTTTTCGAAGGCAGGAGTTACTATAACCCAGAGCCGAAACCGGCTACATGGAAGCAGACTTTCTAAGTTATTATTTTTAAGTTCGATAGCTGGTACAAAATACTGGAATTAATTTTTTTTAATTATATATTAAAATAATACATCAATAAACAATAATTTAAAAAGAAAACCCTTTAAAAAGAAAAATATCGATGAAATATCGATATATCGGCGTACTTGACCGATATATCGATATATAAATATCAACTTGATTCAATATATATCGTTATCGTTATATCGATATTTTTAAAAACTTTGCATCGCTAGCTTTAGTACGTAGCGATCGTTCTCCTGTTTTCTAACCTTCATGCTCCATACTCTCGTAGTTACCTCTACATTCCGTATGGATTATGAAGTACCTCTACGTAAGGATACAGACTGTATTAAAAAGTGTCCCTAGAAAACCGTTAAATAAGGGTGGCGCCACTATAGCTACCGGGTAAATTTAAAGGAACGTGCCGAAAAATAGTTATATTTACTAAATAAAATTATTTTAAATTTTAGAGCTACTGAGCAGTTTAGCAGCACACTTCACACCGTCGACAACTGCTAAGTTCATTTCATGTAGCTGTTTGCTGTAGCTACTCCAGCGCTGTTGTGGAGAGTTTTTGAACTGTTATTTATTGTTTACAGCATGAAGGTAAGAGAACAAGAAAACGATCGCTACGTACTAAAGTATAGCCCGCCTGTCCTTGAAAATTTGTAGAATTTAGTTTTTAGTGGCTGTGAAGTTAGTTGTTTATGAGTACAAGTAAATGAAATTGGTTGAATAATGTACAAATTTTCTTCGCGGCATTGGTGAGAAAATTTTCATTCTCCGTAATTTTTTAATTTTTGACAAAAAGAAACATTAAAAAATGGAGAAATATTTAAATTTAATTTAATTTATTGTGCGTGGATGTGCAAGTGGTTGAGCATCTGATCGGAAAAATAGACTAAAAATGACTTTTATTGACTGCATTTATGATGTGCACTTATAGTGATCGCAGCGCAGCGCCTCACTGATGGTGTCCATGTTTCTGGGACACTATTTTCTACGGCGATCGTTCTCCTGTTCTCTAACCTTCATGTTTTCTCCTATGGGAGATTGTCCTCCTTACCTCTATACTCCATGTATATCCAGGATATGTTTTGGAATACAACCCAGTACACTGGCCAATGCAAATGACATAAATCTTACGGTTAATGACGTTATTTGCATTCGCCAGTATGCTGGAAACATTTTGGAACATACCCCCAAAAATTTGGTTCAACTTCAATGTTTTTATAATTTAAGTTTGACATCTTGCGATTTTTTTAGTTTTTGTGTTTTTTTTAGGTATTTTGTGTTAGAATAAAGTAAAAGTAAACTTTTTGGATTGAAAATAGACTTGGATTGAATAATGCTGCTTATTTTAATTTTTACACATCCAAGTGATGATTGTTGTTTACGAAGATTTTTATTACCAATTAGTGCAAATGAAAAAATATGTGCTTGATGACGAAAATAAATCATAGTTCTAATTTGTCTATTTAATTGTCTTTAAATAACAATTACGTTGTGCTGTTATTTATTATTTTTATACAAATGAAATGCAATATCCGAGAACTCGCTCTATTGAGCGACCAACCGTGTTCAATGGAAGGAAGGTTGAATTACAAAAAGATTACAAACGGTGGATACCGTAACCAGGCAGGTAAGAAACTTAGTGATTTGATTTTGTAGTGTTGATAAATGTGAAAGAGAGGGATATTCACGTTTTGAGTCTTGATTGTAAGGAAGAGGTACTTATCATAATATCCCATTTTCTTCTTTTCACAATAGCTTTATTTGAGCTTGCTAACAGTTTTAAATAAAATGTAGTTATTATATTCTCTTTGAATGTAATCCCAACAAATTGAAGCCATTTTTGAATATTCTAGGATATTTGTAGTTAGTCTGGTGCTCTAGTGGCTGCTGTAAAATTTTTTTGCTTCAATTGCCCTTTGACATCACTTAAAATTTAAAGGATATTTCTTTTGTAATATTTGTCATAAAAGTAATATATAATAGAAAATTAAAATTGAAATAAAATTATTGTGATCAAAGTTATATAATTGTGTGGAATTATATAAAGAGCAGTGGTAGCTCAGATGGTTAACGCTCGCTGTAAATATAACAGAACACGAGTAACCCGGGTTCAATCCCCACCAGCACCAATGAAATTGTTAATTGAAATTTTAAGTGCTGATATACCACATGCTCGGCGGTGAAGGAAAACATTGTGAGGAAACCTGCATGTCTGAGGAATATTAAAAAAAAACCTTTCGAAGACATGTGAAGTTCGCCAACTCACATTGGGGCAGCACGGCGGACACTTCCTTGTCCTAAAACCCTCTCAGAAGTGAGGGGAGGGCTGTGCCCAGCAGTGGGACGTATATAGGCTGTAACTTTAATTAATTTTTTAAATTACCTATAATAATAAAACAACATTAAGAAGACAGATTATAAATACACATCAAATAGTGCAAACTATATTTAAAAATTGTAATTTTCATATATTTATTTTAAAAACAGATATCCTATAATCTAATTTTCCACTCAATGATCATTTAGGATTAACTAACTAAATAGATGTCTATCATGAAAGCTTGCAAAAAAGAGTCCAATTTATATTAAATTACTTAGTGAAAAAGTAAGTAGAAAAAGTATCGTTAAACGGGGAAAATAGGAATTGCGGAGTAAATAGGAACAAAAATCTGCTTTTCTAAACCGTTCTGTCAGTAATATTCGATTTAAGAGAAATCAACACTTTTTAGTTTTTGAACGAGCTTATAATTTTTCTACTGGCTGCATTGAGCATTTAAGCCAGCCAATCAGGATTCACTAAAGAAAAACGTGTTGAAAAGGAGGTCGTTGTGGACATGTGAATATTGTTACTTTCAACTTTAAGTTTTTTGGGAGTTATATTAAGTTAGAGTGGTGAAATTGATGTATATCTTGACATAATAGTGGATTGGAGTTAGAAAAAACGTGAAGGTAAGTGAATAATTGCGTGATTTCATTGAAAATCTTAGTTTTAGTCAAATAATTGGTTTTAGGTTATTTTGGAGATAATAGGAATGCAAGAGGGGAAATTAGGATATGACAGGTATAATTGGAACAACGCGGGGGATATTTGGTTTGATTAAGGGGTAAATTGGAATTCCTAAATAGGGTTGTCAAAATCCAAAACCTAAATAAAGTAGGTACCCACCCAGTAAATTAAAGTAAATTTCATTTCGGTATTTTATGAATAACGTAATTTACACTTTTATATAAACTGTTAAATATGTTCTTTAATAGTCGCTTAAATAAATATAATTTAATGTAGATTTTAACAAACATTATTTACATCATACAAGGCATTAAAAACCGCATTGTTTTATTTTGGTCATAGACCATTATTTACCTCGGGCACAAATCTGAGTCCAAACAATTTTTTATAGCTTGCCTTTTTTACCTATTTTTGCTTTTATCTTCATTCAGATAGGCTATAAAATACAGATAGTAGAACTATTTTTGATCAAAAACTATATGAACTGTGCATAAACTATGTATTTTTTTCAGAATGATTTGCATTTACATACCAAAACCAGGTGCTAAATGCTACAAAAAATACGATGATCAAGTAATAAAACAAGCCCTAGACGAGATAGCTTTGACCAATAATAGCCTAAGTGCTGTAGCTGAAAAATACAACATAGCAAATTCGGTACTATGCCGTCATAAAAACCGAGAAATGAAACCTCACGGTAGGCCAACAGCACTAACCAAAGATGAAGAGCTATATTTAGTAGAACATTTAAATATTTGCGGCGATTGGGGTTACCCATTAGATACGACAGACCTTAGATATATAATAAAAATGTATCTAGACTCAATGAATATTAGGCACAAAATATTCAAAAATAACATGCCCGGTATAGACTATGTTAATGCTTTCATGAAAAGACATGCAAATAAATTATGGAAAAGAATATGTCGGAATATTAAAAGAGATAGTGCGGCAGTGTCTTCAGACATAATAAAAGAATATTTTGGCAAATTGGCAAAGTCTTTGGAGAACGTCCCGACCCAAAATATAATCAATTATGATGAGACGAACCTGAGAGATGATCCTGGTCGCAAGAAGGTGATATTAAGACGAGGATGTAAGTATCCAGAGCGTGTAGTCGATCACTCTAAAGGGTCAATATCTTTGATGATGTCAGCCACAGCAGATAGTATTTTCCTGCCGCCTTGTGTCGTCTTTAAGGCAGCTCATTTATATGATTCGTGGATGATGAGGGGGCCTCATAATGCAAAATTTAACAGGTCTTCATCCAGCTGGTTCGATGGTGATATTTTTGAAGATTGGGTTAAAACAATAGTTATACCATTTTGGGAAAAGAAAGAGGGTAAGAAAATTTTGATAGGAGACAATTTGTCCTCACATTTGTCTGTTGATGTTATAAAACTATGCCAGGAAAAAGATATTCACTTTATTTTTCTGCCCGCGAATTCGACGCACCTTACACAGGCCCCTAGACGTTGCAGTTTTTAGACCCATGAAGATAATTTGGCGTCACTTATTAAACAAGTGTTGAAAAACTGACGATGGGATAACCCAATCATGTGTTCCAAAGGGTTGTTTTTCATTTTTGTTAAAAGTGCTAATGGATGAGCTAAGTGTGAATGCTGAAAAAAATATTAAAGCCGGGTTTAGAAAATGTGGGATTGTCCCATTAGATGCTAACCAAGTTCTAGCAAGGCTTCCTCTGCAAGAAGAGGACGGAGAGGTAAAGAAAAAAGCTATGAATGATAGTGTTTTAACATTGTTAAAAGAAATGCGCTATGGATCCATGAATATTAGAGAATCCCAAAAGAAGAAAAATTTGGAGCCAGGAAGAAGTGTAAGTGCTGAGGAATTAGAAAGGAATGAACATTAGGAACGTTTGAAACCAAAAAAGAAAAGAACACTAAAGCAAACAAATAAATCAACTCCAAAAGGGAAGGGTATGGGCAAAAAAACAAAACCAAAAATTTGCAACTTACAGATAGACAATGGTGAAAACAGAAATTGCGATATCAAAATATGCAGTGAAAGCAAAGAAATAAATGACGATAATATATTTGAGGTACCGGTTGGATTACACGATCCTGATGTAGTGAGTCCTGAACCTTTTGATTTTTCCATTGAAGAAATGCCAATAATTTTTGTTGAAAATTTCGATTGCCAAGAAATTGATTTGAGAACTGTTGATGAAGACCAAAAGAACCAAAACACAAGTAAACAAGATTATGACAAAGAAAATGAAAATCTTGAAACAAAAAACACACAGAAGCCTAAAATTCAAATTATATCGACAATATTTTATTTTTTTGTTACCTACCAGATTATTTTTTATTAAAATATTTGATACCTACTTCTTTTTTTTTACGTGGGGAAATGCCTACGCATACCCGCCTCGCGGGGGCAAGGACGGGTTATGTCGGACTCGCACCGACTAAAACCCCATGGTGTTCCACCTTCGTCGCATATTGGCAGGGCTACGGGAACGCTTTTGCACACTTCCGCGGCCCTACAGCGACTGTCGCCCCATGGCAGCACCTCCACGGGAGAGGAATATTCCTCCCCGTTCTCCTTCCCAAGTAAGGCGCACCAGAACACATGGCACGCCTTACTCCACGGCCTCCAATTGCATCTGCGCAACAGACGCCCCCCGCGTCCGATGCGCGAAGGCCATGGGGCCAGGAAAAACGAGCACTTAGAAGTACTAGCCTTCCCGACCCCAGCGGCGGATCTGGTCTATGGCTCCGCCGCCAACCAAGATTCGGCTGCGGAGGATAGGGAGAGCGGCGCCTCGCAATACCGACAATCCTCTCCCCCCGCAGCCCCATCACCACCGCATCAACGGTGCGGCCCCGTTTGAGTCGCGGAGGATAGGGCGAGTGGCGCATCGCCATACCAACACTCCTCTTCCTCCGCGACTCCACCTCGGCTGCAGCGGTAGAGGGTGCGGAGTCCCCACTCGCTGCAGTCCACCAGCACACATCCGAAGTGGGCTCCCCAAGCCCACTCGGAGTGGCCACCTCAGGCCGGCCCTTCACCTCGGGCCAGCCACGTGGGTTCCTCTTTGTTCACCGTGGGAGACCAAGCCACGGCTACTAAGCCCCCCCGCCACGACAAGGCGGGAACCCGTTCGGGGGGGATTTGATACCTACTAAGGTAAACGTTTAATAGTTTGTTACCTACATGCAAGTGAATTCAAAGTGGAGACTATAAATATATACGAATAGCACTCAATGCAAGCTCAATGTAATATTTTTCTTGTTAGGTACCTAATAAACGATTTTTAAACACATTAAAAAAGGTTTTTTTTTCAAATTATTTTTGTGCCTATCTATTTACTTACTTTGGATAGGTAGAGTAACAGTCCTAGTTGAAATTCCTATTAACCTCTCTCTCAAACCTCTTATCCCCATCAGGGTTAAATTGGAATCCAATAGGGTTTTTGTTGAATTTCTCAAAATATCACAATAATATGTGAATCTAAAGCGATACGTAACATCTAAAAGAGCTTACCATGCATCCTTAAGGACGCGTTTGCAAATCAACCAAAATTAGGGTGTTTTTCGGGAGATTTTGTGACAAAACTAAACCAAATCAAATATAAGTAAAAACTACCATGTATAGATTGGTTCTTCATCTGCAAACGTCTGTAGCTCTTTTGTTGAAAATAGTAGTTTTTTATATTGTAAAAACGAACTTTCGTTGCCATTTTCTACAAAATTAACGATACCGGCTTGTGTTTCGGTACATGTTTTGGTCTATTATCAACATATTTAAAAAATTTAAAAAATACTATAAGATGACAGACATATTCAATTAAAAAACCCTGTGTTTATTTTTTATCAAAATGTCACAAATAGTCGTAGAAAAAATAAAAACTGATGCACATTTTTTCACATATTTTGCTAATACGGATAAATCATAATCTATTGTAATAAGGGCTATTTTATTGTTGGTGCCTGCTTTGATTTATTGTACAAAGATTTCGATGAAACCACAGTCCGCGCTCGGCCGCCGTCGTGAGTGGATACTGTATCGCCTGTTTGCAGCGGCTCATTCTGAAAAGATCGCTGTACATACACAAAATAATAGAAAAAAATAAATTGGAAACATAAGTACTTGACAAGTGATAAAATTATTATTTTTATACTCACAGTTTTTTATTTTGCTAAAAATAAGTAGGATATATAAACTTATCTACTACTGCAACTCCTGGACGAGCGGAACTAGGTGTGCCGAGTTTGGGCTCGTTTTGTTGGTTATGATGAGACCTTACCTCCGGACTTGATGGCGTGACCTGAAGGTGTACTTTCGTGACCGCTATTTGAACTTCTTGCAGAGTAAAACTAGGGGTGGCGAATTTGGGCTCCGTTTTGTTAGTTATGACGAGTCCATACCTCCGGACTTGATGGAGAGACCTGAAGGTGTAAATCGGTGATTGCAACTGGAACTCCTAGACTGGTAGAACTAGGTGTGCCGAGTTTGGGTTCGTTTTGTAGGTTATAATGAGACCTTACCACCGGACTTGATCGAGTGACCTGAAGGTGTAGTTCGGTGATTACAAGTGGAACTCCTAGACTTGTAGGACTAGGTGTGCCGAGTTTGGGTTCGTTTTGTTAGTTATGATGAGACCTTACCACCAGACTTGATGGAGTGACCTGAAGGGGTAATTCAGTAAGTACTGCTGGAATTTCTGAACGAGTAGAACTAGGTGTGCCGAATTTGGGCTTCGTTTTGTTAGTTATGACGAGTCCATACCTCCGGACTTGATGGAGTGACCTGAAGGTGTAAATCGGTGATTGCAACTGGAACTCCTAGACTGGTAGAACTAGGTGTGCCGAGTTTGGATTCGTTTTGTAGGTTATGATGATACCTTTCCACCGGACTTGATGGAGTGACCTTTAGGTGTGGTTCAGTGATTACAAGTGGAACTCCTAGACTTGTAGAACTAGGTGTGCCGAGTTTGGGTTCGTTTTGTTAGTTACGATAAGACCTTACCACTGGACTTGATTGAGTGACCTGAAGGTGTAATCAGGTGGTTACAAATGGAACTCCTAGACTAGTAGAACTAGGTGTGACGAGTTTGGTTTCGTTTTGTTAGTTACGATAAGACCTTACCACCGGACTTGATGGAGTGAAATTCGGCACACCTAGTTCTACTGGTTCAGAAATTCCAGCAGTAGCTACTGAATTACCCCTTCAGGTCACTCCATCAAGTCTGGTGGTAAGGTCTCATCATAACTAACAAAACGAACCCAAACTCGGCACACCTAGTTCTACAAGTCTAGGAGTTCCACTTGTAATCACCGAACTACACCTTCAGGTCACTCCATCAAGTCCGGTGGTAAGGTCTCATCATAACCTACAAAACGAACCCAAACTCGGCACACCTAGTTCTACCAGTCTAGGAGTTCCAGTTGCAATCACCGATTTACACCTTCAGGTCACTCCATCAAGTCCGGAGGTATGGACTCGTCATAACTAACAAAACGAAGCCCAAATTCGGCACACCTAGTTCTACTAATCTAGGAGTTCCAGATGAAATCACCGATTTACACCTTCAGGTCACTCCATCAAGTCCGGAGGTATGGACTCGTCATAACTAACAAAACGAAGCCCAAATTCGGCACACCTAGTTCTACTCGTTCAGAAATTCCAGCAGTAGTTACTGAATTACCCCTTCAGGTCACTTCATCAAGTCTGGTGGTAAGGTCTCATCATAAGTAACAAAACGTACCCAAACTCGGCAGGCCTAGTTCTACCAGTCTAGGAGTTCCAGTTGCAATCACCGATTTACACCTTCAGGTCACTCCATCAAGTCCGGAGGTATGCTCTCGTCATAACTAACAAAACGGAGCCCAAATTCGGTACACCTAGTTCTACTCGTTCAGAAATTCCAGCAGTAGTTACTGAATTACCCCTTCAGGTCACTCCATCAAGTCTGGTGGTAAGGTCTCATCATAACTAACAAAACGAACCCAAACTCGGCACACCTAGTTCTACTAGTCTAGGAGTTCCACTTGTAATCACCGAACTACACCTTCAGGTCACTCCATCAAGTCCGGTGGTAAGGTCTCATCATAACCTACAAAACGAACCCAAACTCGGCACACCTAGTTCTACTAATCTAGGAGTTCCAGTTGCAATCACCGATTTACACCTTCAGGTCACTCCATCAAGTCCGGAGGTATGGACTCGTCATAACTAACAAAACGAAGCCCAAATTCGGCACACCTAGTTCTACTCGTTCAGAAATTCCAGCAGTAGTTACTGAATTACCCCTTCAGGTCACTTCATCAAGTCTGGTGGTAAGGTCTCATCATAACTAACAAAACGAACCCAAACTCGGCAGGCCTAGTTCTACCAGTCTAGGAGTTCCAGTTGCAATCACCGATTTACACCTTCAGGTCACTCCATCAAGTCCGGAGGTATGGACTCGTCATAACTAACAAAACGGAGCCCAAATTCGGCACACCTAGTTCTACTCGTTCAGAAATTCCAGCAGTAGTTACTGAATTACCCCTTCAGGTCACTCCATCAAGTCTGGTGGTAAGGTCTCATCATAACTAACAAAACGAACCCAAACTCGGCACACCTAGTTCTACTAGTCTAGGAGTTCCACTTGTAATCACCGAACTACACCTTCAGGCCACTCCATCAAGTCCGGTGGTAAGGTGTCATCATAACCTACAAAACGAACCCAAACTCGGCACACCTAGTTCTACTAATCTAGGAGTTCCAGTTGCAATCACCGATTTACACCTTCAGGTCACTCCATCAAGTCCGGAGGTATGGACTCGTCATAACTAACAAAACGAAGCCCAAATTCGGCACACCTAGTTCTACTCGTTCAGAAATTCCAGCAGTAGTTACTGAATTACCCCTTCAGGTCACTTCGTCTGGTGGTAAGGTCTCATCATAACTAACAAAACGAACCCAAACTCGGCAGGCCTAGTTCTACCAGTCTAGGAGTTCCAGTTGCAATCACCGATTTACACCTTCAGGTCACTCCATCAAGTCCGGAGGTATGAACTCGTCATAACTAACAAAACGGAGCCCAAATTCGGCACACCTAGTTCTACTCGTTCAGAAATTCCAGAAGTAGTTACTGAATTACCCCTTCAGGTCACTCCATCAAGTCCGGTGGTTAGGTCTCATCATAACCAACAAAACGAACCAAAACTCGGCACACCTAGTTCCACTAGTCTAGGAGTTC